GATATATTGAAAAGTAATTGTCAAAATGATAATGGTTCATGTAAGCCGAAAGCTTAGATTGGATTTAAATATATATCAATATGGTGATTTCCTTTCGTCTTTCAATGATAATGTTACTAAGCTTATCAGACAATATGAACGGAACTTACTTAAAATAGACAAAGATTGTCTATATTTTTTAATCAAACATGCATCAATGAAAATTAATAGCTATCTAGAAATGTGATTGCGTGTGTACCTTAGTTTCCTCGCAAGCATGTCGTTACTTCATCTAAAAGCTCAAAGATTTAAATGTTGCCTATTTTGATGAAAGCTATAAAAGAATTACAATCAATCATGAATTTTGCGTTACTTGTGACGTGTATTCATTCTATTGAGTCTCTATCCTCCGGCGTGTTTTGCTAAAAACATTATAAAAGTCAAGAATACGCACGCATCTGTTTTAAAAGGTCACCATTCAATTCATCATATTTACTAGACTATGTTAAGCTTGTCTCGTAGCCGGAGAGAAATTCGTATGAAATGCTTGCTTTGCAAAACTAGCACTACAGTGTGATGAGTAATGCAAATATTTACAAAATTTAGTTTAGCTCCAATCACTGCGCCAAGTACTTTCTGATACATTGATTGAACTGAGTTCGAACTTTCACTATTGCAAGCATGTGAAATTTTCAAATATATGAATACAGGTAAAAAAAATTTAGAGAGAATGTATGTGTAAAAAGACAATATGAAAAATCAAAATGAGAACTTATCTTAGCCGACGCGATCCATCCTCTGATTTCGTACTGATTGGACTTCTTATTTCGAACTCTCATTTCGACCTCTGACTTTGTCCTCTGATTTCGACATCTAAGTTCGCCCGCTGATTTTGACCTCTAACTCCGTCCTCTGATTTTGTCCTCTGATTTCGACTTCTGATTTCGTCCTCTGATTTCGACCTCTAAGTCCGTCCTCTGATTTCGACCTCTAAGTCCGTCCTCTGATTTCGACCTCTGATTTCGCCCTCTGATTTCGACTTCTAAGTCCGTCCTCTGATTTCGTCCTCAGATTTTGTCCTCTGATTTCGACCTCTAAATCCGTCCTCTGATTTCGTCCGCTGATTTCGACCTCTAAGTCCGTCCTCTGATTTTGTCCTCTGATTTCGACCTCTAAGTCCGTCCCCTGATTTCGTCCTCTGATTTCGACCTCTGATTTCGACCTCTAAGTCCGTCCTCTGTTTTCGTCCTCTGATTTCGACCTCTAAATCCGTCCTCTGATTTTGTCCACTGATTTCGACTTCTGATTTCGACCTCTAAGTCTGTCCTCTGATTTTGTTCTCTGATTTCGACCTCTGATTTCGACTTCTGATTTCGTCCTCTGATTCGACCTCTAAGTCCGTCCTCTGATTTCGTCCTCTGATTTCGTCCTCTGATTTTGTCCTCTGATTTCGACCTCTAAGTCCGTCCTCTGATTTCGTCCTCTGATTTTGTCCTCTGATTTCGGCCTCTAAGTCCGTCCTCTGATTTCGTCCTCTGATTTCGTCCTCTGATTTCGACCTCTAAGTCCGTCCTCTGATTTCGTCCTCTAAGTCCGTCCTCTGATTTCGTCCTCTGATTTTGTCCTCTGATTTCCACCTCTGATTTCGACCCCTAAGTTCGATCTCTGTGTTCAATCTCTGATTTCGACCTCTGATTTTTATTCTTTTATATCGTATTTCTGCAAAAAGGATTGCTGTTGAGTTTTTTATAAAACATTTTTCTCATTTCACAAAATTTAGATATGCCTTTGTATCATCAAACTGACAATGTACTGCCGAGAAAATGAAGGAGACGTGGACGATATAAAAAAGAAAAAATTCCTGCTTTGCAACCTGTATATGTAATCAGTTCTATTAATCTCATTTTTCTACGTGCAGTATCCCTTTGCGGCGTTAGCAATATTTCTTCTTTTTTTCCACACATACCCACCGTTCCGCTATTCATTCACTCATTCCTCTGTCTCTCTTAATATACTGTGTGAGTCTCAAATTCTCCAAGCCCTCTTTCCTCATTATATGTCTAAGAAATTTAAGCTTTCTCTTTCTGAATGTGAGTATAATGATTTTTTTATTTCCATTTTTATCAAGACTTCTTCCTTGCTTACACTCTTCACACATGAAATTCTCAGCATCCACCTGTAGAACCAAATGTCTGTTGATTCCACTTTTCTCTTTATCTATGTGGATATTGTTCGGCATTCACTACCATACAAAAGGATTGATATTATATAATAATTCAGCACTCTTTTCTTTGTTTTTAATGAAATATTTTTGTGTCCACAGAGAGAGCTCTTCTCTTTTCTATCCCATGTCTCTTCAGTACACAGTAATCTTGCCTGTAAGTGGTGAGTATCAGATTCTTCAAACTCTCTTTCCCCATTCTGTGCCTTAAAAATTTCGATTTTATCTTTTTCTGATTCTAAGAATCAGTATCCTTTTTTGTTCCCATTTTTTTTATTTCCCTGGTATACTCAGCATCCTACTGTAGAGTCACATTTCTCTTGCTTCAAGAATTTTCTTCATCAGTGACGAGATTGTTTAGCATTCACTGACATATAGGAGGACCAATATTATCTAACAATTTAGCACTCTTTTCTTTGTTTCTAACGTGATTTTCCTGTTTCTTAATACGTTGCTTAGCTTTTAGGAGATAGCAATCGCTACAACAACGCTATGAACTGTTCCTTTTATTGACAACTATGATTTCTGTTTTCTTACAATTGATGTTTAGTACTTTTTTCTCGCCTTCTCTCGGAGTTCTGTTGTTTCCTTTATGTGTCTAACATCAACACTATGTCACCTGCATATCTTAGTTTTTGTAAGACTGTAGCCGCCAATAATACATCCTAGTAGAACTAATTCCTTCAGGATTGCCTCATTGTAAATTTTGAATAAGTCCGGTGAGAAGACTCATCCTTGTCTTACACCCCTTTCTATCTCTCTGTATTTGCTGAATTCATTTTCTATGTGAATCCAGGCAGGTTCCCAGGAGTATAAGTTCTTATAATATATTTCCCAAGTAAATCAATCTTATTTAGCAGTTCAAAAAGATTCTACCCTCGTACTTTATCTAATACTCTTTTATAATATACAAAGCATAGATATGCATACTTCTGCCTCTTTCTGGTATTATTCTGAACCTAAAATATCGTATCCTTTGATCCAGTTAATTGTCCGATGGATCTGGCATTAAATTGCACCTGGTTTCATCAGAAACAACATGAAAATGTATCAACTAATATCTTCGGTTATATCATCACTGTCATAGATTTCATTATTTCCGTCCTGGGTATGACGATAAACTACATCTGCGTCCTGGGTAAGACGATAAACTACGTCCAACATCAAGGCCTCTCTGATCAGGAGGTTTTGAGGAGTGTGGAACCACCTATTAATTGCTGGTGTTCCCAGGTCTACCCTGACCCGGAGTGGTAGCACCTGTAAGAGTCCCAGCTATGGTCAAATAGTTAACTCCTCAGACTGGAGTCAAAACCCTATGAAAGTGTAAAAATATGTTTTAATACCAGAAATGATTTGTAAAAAGAAATTATTATCGCGAATACATTTTTGAAAAAAAAAATATTACCAGCAGTAAAATTTTGTCGGCATTAAATAACCCATTGAGGTTGATATTTCGTAAAACAAACCAAACCAGACAGGGATCATTAATTATTTGTCTCAACTTGTCAATGGCTGCCAGCATCTCTATTATAAATCTATCTTCAACATCGTCATTGCTGATTTCACTTCAGACTTTAATATTTCTGGTCTTTCTATATTTTTGTTTATTGCAGGTTTTGTTTACTTTTTCGTTGTGGAAGAATTATTCGATGGTATTTTTTCCATTTTTAAAGTATTTTTCTCTATTATCAGAGTTCCCGCTTTCAATTTTATGCATTATGTCAATCATTATGTTATTTCTCCTAAATCTTTTTGTATATTTACCTTATCTATGAGGTTCATTTTTTCTACTTCTGCCCACTTTTCGTTGAGGCATGCCTTTTTTGCCTGCCTGCATTTGTTTCCAATTTATGTGTTTAATGTCCTATATTCTATACCATAACTTCGCATTGTTTATTGTCCTAATGTTCATAATGTTGATATTTTAATTTGTCATCTTTTTTCCTCATCTACTTTTATTTTAGAATGATTTCGTTTGCTGATGTCACTAAAGCTTGTTTAATGTTCCCCACTTTGAATTTCCATTTTTATTTACTTCAATTACTTTTAAAACACGAAAATATCCTTGGTCGAACAGAGATGAGAAGTTAACCAGTATAGCCCCTGGAGTAAGTTTCTCGTGGTGTACTCAGATTCTCTCTTTATGTGCAATTCTACAGAAATAAAGTTCGTTTATCTCTCTCTTGTCAGTGTTAATTTAATGTCACACTGATATTAGGCCACAACGAGAAAACAGTCCACAATGTTATCATTTCAATGTTTTTGTACAATCACCCCGGAGATAGAAGCTTATTCTGAATTGCTTGTAATATGAATGCGATGTGAGGGGCGGGACTGAAATATAATCTACGCCTACCTCTGACACAGCTTCTCAATTTTCGATCTCTGGCATCTAAATTACCCACCAGGTGTGTTGGAAATATTTCGTTTTCTTTCGTTTTGTTTTTTTGCTGTTCTTTGTGTTTTAGCGGATCGCAGAAGTGTGTTTTCCAGTGAGATTTTCACTGATTTTCTTTTAATTGAAAATTATTTGATGGAGGAAGTGAAGTGAACAAAGTAATGTTTTTGGCAATATTTTTGGCACATGATCTTCTCATTTCTTAACTGAAAACATTTTTCTCTTTTTTTTTTATTCAGTATATTCAATTTAATATTGGCTGATTTTATTTAGGACTTCGATAGTTTACTGAAATAAGAGGCGACAATATCATCAAACTCTGGTTCAGATGAGAAGGTGCGTTGAATTCTATGATTTAAAAAAATAATTTCTTTATAATTCAGTTTCCTCTTATTTTTCATCATGTATCATTTCTTTTATTTCCTCGTTCCTCACTATCCTTCTCCAGTATATTTTCTTCATGGTTTCTTTCTTATACGTTTGCCAGTTTTTAGTTCATATTTATTCGTTTTCACATTCCTTTCTTCATACTGGCGTTCTTTTTTAACATCCTAACTTTGGGGGGAGTATTCTATTCTTATTTTATTTAATCTTTTTCTATATTGCCCTTTCTCTTTCGTTTGATTTTTGTAAATTAGTTTATTGGATTATTTTTTAATCGGTATCACCCCATGCAAGGGAATAAAGCCACTAAGACACAAGGTGTTACTGTGTGTGGGAGAATTAGCAACAGAAACATTAATAAGAGAAAAAAAGTAATTAGGAGGATAGTAGATAGCGATTGACATTGCATTTAAACTTTTCAGATTAAGGTTGACTGGAAAGCATGGAGCCGGAGTAGTGCGAGAAATGAAACTGTTAGCTTGGAATTTACGTTTACATCTACCCAGCTAAACTGTAAATTTTATACTGATTAATGCTTCAAATACTAACAAAAAAAAACTCGATTCTGTTTTTTTACATTGTCTCGCCAGATCGAAACTTTCACATGAATGTCATGCATGACGGCCAAATTATTTAGAAATATTTAAATTGTCAGCTGTATGCAACAGCTTTCTATGGTAATTTGTTAACAATGAAGTGATTAAAGTTTGTAGGTTTTAGCTTCTACCAACCATGTGGAATGGTGCAAGAAAATCCCGAAGAACTTTTTTTATCAAATAACAGAAATCCTTTAACTTAAGGACTTTTAGAAACAGCAGCAAATAAAATAGACAGCATATGTAACTCCAAGAGTAAATAATGAAATAATCATGGGGTTGACGTTCCACACTATTTCAAACAAAATGTTAGTAAGAAAGCTCCGAATCCAATGAATACCAAATGTTTCCTTATAAAGAAACGGCTAATAATATTACATCTTTATGCAAAGGAATAGAAAGAAAACGAATAATTCTGTTATTATTTACTTTTTTCGTATTTTTCCAATGTTAGTACTTAGTATGTCCATTCCACGAAGTCGTTCCTTGACCACAGATTATTCACTGGATTTAAATCGGGAGAGTTTCCGGGACAGTCTATAGTACTTTGATTTACTCACTGGTAAGTCTTGCCAGTGTGTTCGTGCAGTGTTACAATTTTCCTACGCTTCCTTGGAGTAACGTTCATCGCAGACAATATCCGTAGGACAACTAATCGACAGTCGAGACAATAGTGTCTGGGCGTGATGAAAACCTCGTGAAATCACGGATGACGCAATATTTGTCAAGCCAAACAAATTTCATCATACACCCCGAAAAGAAATTCATATTACTGCAAACCACTTCAAATGACCTAATCTGGTTGAAAATAGAAATCGATTACAACCTGTCACTCCAGTGGGTCTAAAACTGACTGTTTGATGAAATAAAGGTAACTAAAGCGGTTGTTTCATTTAATTTGAACAAATGTGCATTACTATTTTTTACTTACTTTTAACTTTTCTTTTCTTTCTAATTTTTTTTTTTTTTTTTGCTTTCTTTATTTCAGTTTCATATTCTTGACCATTTTCTTTTTTGGGTTTTATATTTTTACTTAATCCTCATATCTTTGTTTATGTTCTTCGTCTTTCGGGAGATTTTGGTTTTCATCTTTCTTTTTCTCCTCCTTTGCCTCTTCATTTTTTTTCTCAATTTCTTTTTCACTTCACCACATCTTTTTTTCTTTACCTCTCTGTCTATTTTCAACGTTTTCTCTCTTCACCTCCTCACTTTACACACTCCTTTCTATCTGATTTTCTCAGCCTTCTTCCCCACGTTATACTCCTCATCCTCATCCTCCTCCTCATCCTCCGTCTTCTTCTTCTAATCCCCCACCTTCTTCTTCTTCTTCTTCTTCTTCTTCTTCTTCTTCTCTCTGTCTTATAGTCCAACTCTTCTGCCACAACCTCTTCTTTTTGATAGTTCAATTTCTCTTCATTTTTTTCTTCTTTTTCTTCTTCTTCTCCTTTGTATCCCAGTGCCTCCCACTACTACTAATTTTTCTTCTTCCTTCGACGTTGTCCTTTTACTTTGTCACGTTCCTCTTCTTGTCTCTCTTTGTCTCTCCTTATATTTCTTTTCTTTCCTCCTCTTCATTTCGTTTTCCTTCTTCCTCCTTATTTTATCTTTTTGATTCTTTCGTTTATACCTTCCCTCCCCCTCACTCTCTCTCCTTCTCTTTCTATCTCTCTCTCTCTCTTTCTCTCGTTCTTTCTTTCTTTCTTTTTCTCTCTGAACTTTCTCGGTATTCGATTTGATAGTTTTTCTTTGTGCAAATATATCGAAAGTTTTACTAAAACATAAATAATATCTTTCTTTCTTTCCTCCTCTTTTTCCTTCTCTTTTTCCTTCTATGTTTTTTCTTCTCTCCTGCCTTCTCTCTCCTTTCTCTCCTTTTTTCTTTCTATCTTTCCTTCTCTCTATCTCTTTGTAAACTGTCTCTGTATTCGATTTAATGTTTTTTCTTTGTGCAAATATACCAAAGCTTTAACTAAAGCATAAATATCTCTCTCTCTCCTTCTCTCCTTTTCCTTCTCTCTCTCCTTCTCTCTTTCCTTCTCTCTCTCTTTCTCCCTCTCTCCTTTTCCTTCTCTCTCTCCTTCTCTCTCTCTCTCTAAAAAATAATTTCTTTTCAGCATTGTTTTATTCTTTCATTTTTTTACTTAAATTCTTTAGTTGATGTTGGTCTAGATTTAAGAGCTACTAAACTATTTTTCGGCATCATTCTGTTATATCAACACATTTACATAAAAGCCAATTTTAAATAAACCACAGAGACACACATACACTCAAATAAATGCACTTAGTAACCCGGTATGCGCCTGATATTAAATCAAAAGCAAATTGAACAGGCCGCTCAGACAACTCACAGAAATAACACATATCTACCTGAAGTTTACTATAAAGCGTTCGTTGCCAAACTTTTCCCGTAATCATCCTTGGGCACCACATCAATAAATCCTTCAGTAAAACTTTTAAATATCGCAATCACGAGATGTGTTCCGAAAGTAATACCTCCTGTTATGTTAGAGCAAGATGCAGATCAGAAAAAAGCAAACATATCCCTCATAAGACTTTTGCTTTGTTTCATATAGAAACCCGATCAAATATAGGAAAACTAATTACACTTCCCTCTACTAACGTGTCTAGAAGTTTCTGCAGTTTTCTTTCTGTGTGTGTGTGTGTTTTTTTTTCTCTCCTAGCTAGAATAATAAAGGAAAGCAAAAACAAGGACTAATTGTAAGATAGAATATATGGTTTTAGGCAGAGAGACAGCGCAAGATGAGAGCTACAAATTGAAAGTGTGAAAATTAAGCATATAATAAATTTAATTATATAGGAAATGTTGTAAAAACGATGAAGAAGTTCAAAGGTGCATTGGGATAAGGAAAGATGCTTCCGGAAGCTAAGCAAAGTATTATGAATCAGGAAAAATTCCTTAGAAAATAAAAAAATTGTGCTGAACATCTATCACTTATCCTACATGACAGCAAATCCTGGGCAATAATTCAAACAGATAAAGGCAAACTTGGACAACAGCTATGTGTTACTACAGAAGGATGATGAGAATGCCATGAACCGGACATATATAAGATTTAAGAAAAATGAAAATAAAAAAGACATTTGCACCTAGCATGAGAAAGAAACAATTTCTGCAACACATAATGAGGAAAGAAAGCTTGGAGAATTTGACTCTCATAAAACTTATTGAAAACAAGAGACAGGCGGAAGCAGAGTGTAATGTACCTAAGGAGTCTGTTTAAGTATATTGTACAACAGGAAGCATGAGGGGTAGTAAGAAGAGCTACATATTATAGGATATATTTGTGAGCCATGATCGCTTACATGCTAAACGGATATGTTACATAAAAGACGAATTCAATTTTTCAAGGATATAAATAATATATTAAATGTTACTTTTAACTTAATTTAATGAAAATAGCTTTCAGTAATGGATGTCATTCGAAATCTAACCCTGGGTAACTTAGTCTGATTTGGAGTAAAACTCCAATCATTTAGATTTCAGTGATACTTAGAGCGACAAATTAGAAAACTTATCAGATACCGCTTACAGAAAGTTCTCAAGATATCTCAGTCAGTAAATACAATGTATTGAGATTGGCGTTAAACTTTTCTCAGTTCGACCAAAAAACCTTTAAAAAAATTTCTGATGTTTGGTCATTTGTTCAGGTGTAGAGAAATGGGAAGGACCGAGAATTTTATTACTTACGTCGGTATATTGAACAATTCGTTCATAAAAAATAAAATTCAATTAATTCGTTAAAAGGCTCTTTTATTTGCTTACTTTTTTATTTTCCCTTTTCTTTTTTTTCTATTTACTGTTACTTTATTTTTCTGTTGGATTTATTCCCTGTAAATTTGCATCTTTCAAGAAAAGATGAGATCTTTACCACCTCGAACGGTTCCAACCTGTCGAGTTGTCATGGCATTTGTCCAACTTCGCAGCTTTCACGCCAAAGTTCTAATGCCAATATCGTAACATTTCTTTCAAGCGTTGATACCTAGTATAAGTCAATATATACACAGGTAAAGCAAGACATATGTGGTGGTTTTAGTTCGTTGTCCTCTTTCGGAATCAATTTTGCCACGAGGAAAGGGAAAAAAATACTACACATATAAATACGTATATATGAGCTTGTGTAAGCACTTAACGCATATATTCTTTAAAATGCGATATATACTGTATTCAAATCAAAAGCCGAAATAATGACTCAGATTACATTCGAGTGTAATATTTTGACAAGTTTGTTTACTTGCTTCAACGAAGTAATTGTCCCACTCTAATTCAGTTTTTTTTTTTTTTTTCATAAACAGCCAATATGTTTGGCCAAAAAACTTACAATTAATTTACATCTCATGAACACATCGCATACATTTAATGGCAAACACTCGGTTTTGGTCGCTTTTTAGAGTAATAAGATTGGGTTTGTTTTAAAAGACGAGGGCAAATAAATTTTCGCAGCGTGTAAATTTAGAGCCTAAATTTTAAAATCCAAAGCAAGAAACAGGAAATAAAGATCTACACATGTTCAAAAGTCCGGTTCAAACACCTCCCCGGTCTTTTGAACAGGTGTTGACGTTTATCCTTTGTTTCTTGTTTAGGATTCGGTTTCCGTTTCCTTCTAAAATCATATCATTCTCTTTCACTCCCAGATGACCCTTATGACTTAGCGGCATTATTACCTTGCTTGAGGAAAATTGATTACAAACTCAATTTGAAATTCTCTCGCGATCGACAAATCATAATTCGTTTCTTGTAGCCTATTTTCTTAAACGTGCACTTATTAATCATCGAATAAAATCCAGAAAGCTTATAGATGAACACTTTTCAAAATGTTGCCAGTGATCAGTATTTAAGCTTTGATAGAAAGCTAAGATACTGAACGCTGATTTTGAAGGCAAACATATTCACACCACTAAGTTTGCCATAATACATTTCTAACTGTAGCCATTTTGTTTTAACTGTCCTTGTTTCGAGCACAGTCACCAGGAATCGTTTGAAAAGTCTTTGTGTATGTGTGTGTTTGTATGTGTAAGAGAAAGAGTCTCTGTGTCCACGTATATATATATATATATATATATATATATATATATATATATATATATATATAACACAGGCGACAGTCTATTTCATGCTATATGCAATCGTCAGGCTACATATGCTGTCATTTTTCTCGGCTATTTATATATATACGGGTTAGTGGTGCATTGTGGGTATTATATTTACACGCTCTATCTCTGATATTGAGCACTTTATTCCATAAATATAGCATACCTTAATATACTATATTATATTATATATATATATATATATATATATATATATATATATAAAGTGAACATTGCGTCCAGTATGAAACAGACTGTCGCCTCTGGAGTGCTGACTTCAATGTTCACTTTTATATTTATATTTACATACGCTTTATCTCTAATATTGAGCACTTTATCCCATAAATATAGCACTCCTTAAAACTATATTTCTTCATATATATATATATATATATATATATATATATATATATACATACAGACTCTTTCTCTTACATATACAAACACACATACACACACACGCACACACACACACACACACATATATATATATATATATATATATATATATATATATATATATATATATATATATATATGGCTATCTGTTATAAAATCAGTTTCTGTTATTCCATCGGGTTTCTCAGTTTCACTTTTTGTAAACTTCTAAACATTTTCGGTTATTAATGAGATGAAATTATCGTCATGATGAAAAGAATGCAACAAAAAAAACAACGCCAAGACACGGAATAGAATATAGGAAAGTACGCAAAGTAATAATGCAAGCGAGTTAAAGAGGAATGGCTCAACAAAAAATGTGAAGAAAATAGAAAGAATGGTTATCAACCATCAAGTAGATATGGATAAAAACAAGAGAACTAACCAAACAAAAGACATGCTCATCAACAAGATACATAAAATACAAGGACGGAATGCTGATATTAGAGAAAGTAAAAATACTTCTGGAACGAATATATCGGAGAACTTTTCCTCGACAAAAGAGAATAACCAGCAATAAACAAAAATATTGACAGTAGGGTATTACTAAAATATGAATTGAAATTAGCTCTGATCAAATTGAAGAGAAACAAAGCAGCAGGACCAGAAGAAATTGTGGAGGGCCATGATCGCCAATGTTCAATGAAGAAATCCAGAAGAGAAACTAAAAACTAAATCGACGATATAACTATCAATAAGAGATTCGGGAATGCAGTTTTATAGTGTAAAACATACCCAAGTGCCGACCGCAGAAACGACTACATTCCAGTGAAATGTAAACTTCAACGGAAATTCAAGAGGGCCAAGGCAGCACCCAAATTGCAATGCGACAAACTACTGAATTACCGAATGTGAAGGAGAAAATATATGGACAGTGTTAAAAGCAGACAATGGACAAAATGAGAATGGAAGCTTGAAGTGGGAAACATTAAGTGAAGTTTTAGTAACCTCAGCAATAGAGATCATACGAAAGGAAAATAGACAAAGAAAAAAATGGATGTCAGATGAAATGAGAAAAAAAGGCAAGGTACGGCAGAGAATATAGGACTCTGTACAGAGAAATTAAGAACAAATGCAGGCGAGCTAAAGATGAATGGCTCAACGAAAAACGTTCAGAAATAGAAAGAATGAATATCACAAATCAAATAGATACATAAAAATAGAGAACAAAACAAAAGACATGCTCATCAACAAGATGCATGACATCCAAGGACGGAAGGCTGATTTAGAGAAAGTCAAAATACTTCAGAGACGGAACGAATTTATCAGAGATCCCTTCGACTATGAAAGAGAACAACCGGCAATACAGAGAAATGTCGACGGACCAGAAATATTGAAAACTGAATTGGAATCTGCTCTTGCGAAATTGAAGAGAAAGAAATCGGCAGGGACAGACAGAATCGTAAGAGAAAAGCAGGAAGCCTTAGATGACTTCGGCATAGACAATATGACAGAAATAATAAATGAAATATCAGTGATGATATACTAGAAGACCTAAGTAGATATATTTTCATAGCTCTGTCTAAGAAGGTTGATACAAACGAATGGG